AAAAATACATAAAAATATTGAGAAAGTTATATAAAACATTATTTAAATATCATTATCAATAGGGTAGGTTAGGTTAGGTTATCGGGTTTTGTTCAAGTGACCACCCTCTTTCGATCCCCCACCTCCACCCGCTTGAAAATATTTTTTTTATTGAATTTTATTTGAATTATAGTGTATGAAAACTGTCAAAATAATCAACTTTCAACCCCCATAACTTTTTATGTGGGTGAGACCTCCGCAATTTTTTTATGGCGTTTTACTCAGATGACCACCCTCTTTCGATTCCCCCTACCCCCACTCCCATCTAACTCCCACAACTTTTTATGGGGGGTGAGACCGCCACGAACTTTTTATGGTACAGTGGAGGGGGAGACCTCCTCTTTCGATCCCACCCACCCATCATCTAGACATTTACCGTATGATTTATTATGTACTGTTTAAATTCGGGGTTTCCAATCGTAATTCAAACAGTTTTTGAGATAATATAACAATTTGGAATATTCATCTCCACTTTCCCGATAAAACAAACAAAAAAAAACTTTTTATGATCTGAAGTTTTACAGACATATTTGGTTAATTTTAAATGTGATCTCCAAAATATATTAACTATTTAAAAACAGAACCATTTAACAAGCAAGATATTTGTCTGGACGAAGTAACAACCAGTCGAGCCCGAATATTTAGTTGCCCCATCGCGCACCGCAGTTCGTTAATAACAAAGAAACGGTGTCGAGCGCGACGGTGCACCACTTTGCGCTCTTTTTCGTGTTTGTTCTGCGGTTGTTTCCATTTTTTAAACGCCACAACGGTAACTGTAAATTTTTATTCACTGGCGCCATACCGCTAACTGACGATCAAATTATGCAATGTTACGTAAAAGAAGACGAAAGTTGCAACTATTTTCCCGTTAGCGTATCTGTAATGATAAATAATTGAACTGGAAAATATTCGGAAAAAAGTTGCATGAAGTTTGAAGTCGAATTATACATTCAAATATAACGTACATATTTCATAGTTGATTGATTGACTTTAATTATTTTAATTATGATAGAATTGTTAATTGAAAAACAAAAAACGATCGTTCACGTTGTAGAAGATTTTTACTTTTTAACCGCGATATATTAAACAACTATTATTATTAAGGGTAGTCAAGTGCGCGTATTCACTCTCGGATCATTGCGCATTACGTCACTAGTGCTGGCAGCAGCGACTTGCGGGAAATATAAAATTTAAACTTTAAAGTAGCATAAGCCTCTAAGACATTTCTATATATTTTTTATTAATTTCAGAATTTTCAGAACTATGATTGAGCGTATTTTAATGAATCTGAAACCATAACTGTGTCAAAGTTAAATCAAGGTCAGGTGTTCCATTAGCAGCTTTTAGCACGCAATTCTTCTATAGTTCATTAATTTAAAAATTTCCTTAAGCGATACACTTAAAAGTGGATCTAACAAGTACATACAGCTTAGGGAACGCCATCTGTACACGGAACTGCTTATTGTGTAAAACAGCAATGCTTAACAAGATCCTTTTATAATAAGGAAATTATCGACTTGTCAAACTGAATCCATGGCGTGATGGACTCGTAACATAGGAAAAAATATGTTCTTCGTCACTATTGCGAAACGTGGAGCGCGATTTCGAACAAATGACTCTCTTCAGAACTCCTTATAATTAATCCTACACTAAACATAAATAGTAAATTATACAAATGGCACTCACTGCTGTTCGTATATATTCACTGCCCGACTGGAAATTAGTTCAGAGAACCCGGATTATGATTAGATGCGGATCAGATTTTCCGTAATACGGGCATCTGATCGGTTTCTGATCAGAGTACAGTACTCTATCCGTTGATCCACCCATCTGATCAGTTTCTGATCAGAGTACAGTACTCTATCCGTTGATCCACCGATCTGATCAGTTTCTGATCAGAGTACAGTACTCCATTCCTTGATCTAATTCTATTACGGTTTCGGTACAATCTTTAAATCAAGGAATGGAG